ATTTATTCACATATTTGTTTATATTACTTAACAAGCCGGCCAAGCGATTGAGACCACTCTCCCCCCCCCTGCTACATGAAGTTGACGCGTAGTGGCCATTTTGAGGCACCCTTTATAAATGTTTTAGATATTTTGTCAGATAAATTGTTTAAATATTTAAGAATTTTTTGTTCCATGTTTGTTTGTTTTTAACATCCCTTTGTACCATTTGCATTCAAGTATGCATAATATTGCAATAACGTGTAAGGCATATATTGTATTGCATTTTATTAACTCAATAAAACTCAATTCTGTTATTTTTTTCATTGTTATTAGTGTTATCGCCTATAAAATATGTATTGAAACAAAAATTTTCCTGTAATTTTCTATTCAATACACAATTTGTATATCTATTTGATTTTCAAATTGTCCTAATATTTAAGTATTTTTCCTTCCATTTTTATTAACTTTTTATAACATTACATTTTACAATTTACATTTAATTATACCTTATAATTGGATTTATGTAACGTGTAAGGCATATATTGAAAGTAAATAAACAATGGTGGATTTATACTAGGGGCAGTCGGGGCTAGTGCCCAGGGCGGCAAATTTTCTAGGGCGGCAAAATTTGGAAATTGAGAAAAAATTATATACAATATATAGAAAATTGGGGCGGCATTTTCTTCAGAGTCCCAGGGCGGCACAAATTTAAATCCGGCCCTGTGAATAAATAAATAACTGAAAACATTTTATTAACTCAATAAAATTTAATTCTGTTATTTTATTCATTGTTATTAGTGTTATCGCCTATTAAAGATGTATTTAACAGAAAATTTCCTGTAGTTTTTCATTTAATACACAATTTGTATGTCTATTTGATTTTCAAATTGTCTGAATATTTAATTTTTTTTCGTTCCATTTTTATTTATTTTTCATAACATCCCTTTTACAATTTACATTTAATTATACCTTATAATTGGATTTATGTAACGTGTAAGGCATATATTGTAAGTAAATAAATAAATAAATAACTGAAAACATTTTATTAACTCAATAAAACTTAATTCTGTTATTTTTTCATTGTTATTAGTGTTATCGCCTATAAAAGATGTATTTAATCAGTAAATTTCCTGTAATTTTCTATTCAATACACAATTTGTATGTCTATTTGATTTTCAAATTATCTGAATATTTAAGTATTTTTCATTCCATTTTTATTAATTTTTTATAACATTCCTTTTACAATTTACATTTAATTATACATACCTTATAATTGGATTTATGTAACGTGTAAGGCATATATTGTAAGTAAATAAATAAATAAATAACTGAAAACATTTTATTAACTCAATAAAACTTAATTCTGTTATTTTATTCATTGTTATTAGTGTTATCGCCTATTAAAGATGTATTTAACAGAAAATTTCCTGTTTTTTTCAATGCACAATGTGTATGTCTATTTGATTTTCATCTCGTTTTGCGAGCCGTCAACTTAATTTTCAGTGCGCAAGACTAAAAACTAGGAGTTTCCGGTTACACATATTAAAAGGTCGTTGAAATTGATTGCTTTTTCATGTCCACCGTAATGGACTATTTTCAAGGACCACAGATAATTCTCATGGATGATAGTATTTATTTCATATGAAAATCGATTAGGGCAGAATTGGTAATGAGGCTGAAATTCTGAACGCTTTAGAGCCTCCAGCGTTTGAATTTTAGAAAACAATTAGGAAAGGTTATAAAATGAACATCAAATAAAAATTTAATTTTCGAGATTTATTTTCTAACAAAAGTTTTCAATTCAGAAATTTGTTTTAAAATTTATGGACGATGGAAGCCAAACATACAATATATTATGGAATGTGTTAATATGAACCTTCTTCGCTTGTAAATTAATGGAAAATAAACCTTTCTTTGAATCTTCAGAATTGTAAAAAGGGATGGTATGTCTTCTTGTTTAACACTTTGTGGGAAAATGTACGAAAAAAGTTTGTGTGAAATCTTATAAAAAAAAGATATTTCAAACTCAAACTAATCGTATATCGCATGAGATATATTGATTTTACAACAATCGTTTTACAACTGATTTGAAATTTATCTAATTTAAAAGCTGTCCTAATAAATCTGCAAATTCTAAGCATTTTTAATTCGTTATTGGGGTATCAATTTTTGAAATTTGTCGACATATTTCTTTAGGTATACTTTGCAAATGATGTCGAAAAATTACAAAGAATTTAAACCTGACCAAAGAACAGAAAATATTCAAACAAAAAATAAAATAAGCAAGTTTTTATATAACTAGCAAAACAGATTTCTTATATTTGTGAGCATAATGAAATTATTTCTACGTTACATAATCATCAAGTATAATAATATAAAGTTCATTTATTCAATATATAATAAAAGTAATTAACCTAGTTCTTTTCTTACTCAAATTGTGCTGAATCAATTAGGCTCCGGCATCTTCCATACTGCTGTTTATGATTCATAATCCGTGGGCAACGCTTCAATCAATAATATCAAAAAACAATAAACCGAAGGAAAACAATCCGTCAAATATAAAAACACTATTTATAAATTCACATTACACATAGAACGAACTTCAGACTGAACTCCACACTCACACACATCACACATTCTTAAACTCTACTTTACTACTGACAAATTCAGTAAAAATGAGAAAACACATTGAGTTATTTCGTTCAAAACAGGTTTAGAAACTTCCAAATTTATAGTGATTCATAATAATTATGCAAGAATATTCGCTCGATGACTCTGAGGCTGGAAGAACTAAGTCATTTTCATCATTTGAAGATGCAGGAAATTTGCTCGAAGCAAAACGATAAAAACCGCGCGCGAGCCAGTTTAGAACCGAGGCTACGTGGATGAACATTACGTATCCTAACCACTACACTATATCATCTATCAAAATTGCAGTGAAATATTGTGTACTTCTATAAAATTTTTATATCATTGTCCATATTTTTTCGTATGTTTATATTTAACACATATTAACACGTGACAATAAAATCACCAAATATGTTTATATCAACAAAAACTCTAGGTTTGGAAATGAAATACACTAATCTAATAGATCGAATACTTACGGCCAAGTTCCTGACCTTCTTCGCCTTCGTAGGTGGTCATGTTCATCATTTGAATTCGACTGCGTCTCTTCCTCAAAATCCACTTGACAATGTTTAGATTTTAAGTTTTTATGCTTATGTAAACAGGATAACCTATATTCTAACCTTTCAGCCTGCCTGCACTGGTGCAAAGTGGACAAATCGACATCCGAGCCCACCCACAAACAATCCATAACGAATCAAATGTAATATTATTTGAATCCGCTCGAAAAACAGAAAGAAAAAGCACTTTAAACCGTTATACATACGTTAGGTGACACTTCGCAAATAGGTTATAACTATTACCAATGTATGTCAATGGGAAAGTTGTTCGAAAATTGGTTAAATACAACTTCGTCCTTAAAAACACAGCGATAAGTGTGTTGATTAGCGAAGATAATTTTTCAAAGTTTAAATTCTAGTAAAAAACGTTATTTTATAGTGCAAAGTTCATCTAACATAATTGAAGGCAAATAATTTAGGAAATATTTAGTAAGTTAGGTAAGCTGATAAAAGCTTTAAAGAAGAAGGTCAGATGAAGAAGTATAAATATCATACTTTCAGTTTCTTTAAAATATTTTCTACATAATCGAACGTATAGTATTTATTCAATATATTCTTTGATTTGAAATAATTATAGTCGAATTATTTCAAAAGACGCATTGATAAGTCAGCACCATGCATTAAATTACATATCCGGTATGGTCTAGTGGCTAGGATACCTGGCTCTCACCCAGGAGGCTCGGGTTCGATTCCCGGTACCGGAAGTTTCATTTTTTTATAAATTTTGGTACCAGAAGTTATTTTTCGTAATTTTTGCATAAAAAAATTCACATTCTCATTTGTCAAGATTACTTTTAAAACATTCCCTGTTTCAGTTCCTTTATATCTTCATATTTTCAGATATAAATAATATATATCTGATATGTGATATTTATCAGACAGCAACAAATTAATGAAATTGAAGCATTCGATCCATTTTTTTTTATTCAACCATTTCCTAATAATTGATCAATTGAACACTAAAAAAAATTTCAAATATTCGATACAACATATTTTTCAAGAAAAACTTATTATTATTGCAAAAAATGAAATATCAGAAAATGTGTTGTTTAGAAAACAGTTCAGATGTATTTGCGAATTCAAATTGCTCAAAACTCCATTCATTACAGATAGTTATTTGTATTTTGCCATTTTTTTAATACTAATAATTAAGAATTGTTCTTTGGTTGCACTAACCATACAGACATTTGTCAATAATTATTTTGTTGGGATTGGTTATGTCTGGAATTGAATTGCACTGTCATGATATTCATAAAGGAGAATTAGAACAATTTGCTATATATTGAGTTTCATGCTAATTATATTATGAAGCAAGACCTCCCCTAACCAAATGAATTCACAAATTTGCTTGTTCCACCAAGTTCCTACATAATTTTTAATACAACTTCTAAAAAAAATTATACATCTGATTTTTGTACTGTTTGAAAATTATAGAGAACTAAATAAATTTATTTAAAGTTTACTTACATATACAAAATAGGAACCTTACCCCTGAATTATATGAAAATTATCAAAAAGCTTGCACTGCCCGGGAATCGAACCCGGGTCGCAAGAATGGGAATCTTGCATGATACCACTACACCAGCAGTGCTACGTATTGGATTGACAAATATAAGGCTTCATATAGCTGTCCAAATCATCAACAATTTTTTATTCATTTTTGAAATATCATAATTAAGGTTAGATATTCTTGCAAAAATTATTGAATCAAAATATTTGAATCCACACACACAAAATTTCAACGAAACCGGTACAGCCGTTTAGGAAGAGCCATTGACATACACACGTAGAGATATAATATTCAACATCAATAATTGAACAATAAAAAATTCCTTCGGGCCGGATTTGAACCAGCGACCTATGGATTACTATTTTAATAGCCAGCTACAGTCCACCGCTCTACCAACTGAGCTACCGAAGGTGTTGGAAAATTTATCGCTCCACTCGAATTCAACAAAGTGCAAATATAGCATAATAATACACTTAACATTTTTTTTTAGAGATAATCATTATAAGATTGAAGTATTTCTACAAATAAAACAACCAACTTCATCATCCTAAAATTTCATTTTTGAAAATGACACAACTTTGATCAAAAAATAAAACTTGTTTTTGATTGAAAATATTTGATAATAAACTGAATCATTTCGGAAAATGTGGAAATAAAATTAAATATGCGAAAATTCATTCATAATAACGATATGTGAAATATTCATTCATAATAACATCAAATATACAGAACGAAAAAATTTACGCCCGAGCAGGGACTTGAACCCTGGACCCTTGGATTAAAAGTCCAATGCTCTACCGACTGAGCTACCCGGGCCTATAAATATTTGCAATTTATACAGCGTCTTCACGAGATATAAACTGCAATATAAACTTCCAATTATTTTCAATTTAATTTTAGATTTATGTCTTAAATACCTGAATTTATTTGTTCTATCCATGACTTGCGCAATAACACTTTTCCTCAATGGTGTAGGGCTACCGCCTGGTGTACTGGATGCAGACCTTTGTTTTTCCTCTGCAACTATGGCTCTAGCCAATTGCATATCCATTTCATTCATGGTAACCGTTTTTGGTTTCAACACTACACCTCACAAACCTAGCAGAATAATTACTGATACATTTAAACTATAAAAAAAATCTGAACGACTGATTTAAAGGTCTGATTCAAATTAACAGGAATGTTCAGTCACTGCACAAAAATAAAACAGTGAATTCCCGGGAAGTTAATGTTTTGTGTTCAAAAAGAAACAGACGTTGCAATATTTCCAATGGACCGATTAAAAGTGCCGATAATTTTGAAAGCAAGGTGAAGAGTGTTATTGAAATAACTGAAAATAATAGGTAACTACGTAATGTCACGTTGTCCCTGGCCTGATTCAAACTTCTTAAAAGTAGGGCTTTTAGATCTTCAGACCTTAGTACTTTCGATCAGATACACATTTGTTTATTATATAGTTATATATAGTTTGTTGATCGAAGGTTGAATGATGTTTATTTATATCACACCTTCCATTGAAGTGCCGCGAATTTGTTTGTCTTATTATGTCGCCTTGTTTAGTTGACTTACGGTGCTGTAAATCATGCAATTGTTAGCAAGTTGGCAACAGCATCAATTATTGATGCTGTTCATTATGAAAACATTTTAAGACATAGAATATTTCCCATTGAATTCCATTTCTGGATTCTGTGTACATACTGTGACATGAATTTGAATTTCCCGCTCGATAATTACTTCCGCCTACTCTGAACGTCAAATCGGCCATATTTGTTTCCATATCCAATGCACCGAGCACGAAGTATAGATATTGTTACGAATTATGGGTTTCGACGGATAAATTCCAATAACTTTTAACAATCAATAAATATCCTTTATTTAACAACTGAAAATAAATATAACAAATGTCAAAGTCACTTATGTCTACCCTTATTTGCAATGAACTCTACTATGCCGACACGTGGTTGCTACTCTTGTTCTTCTCTGACGATCTCACACTGGAATGACAGAGGCAGTTCGATGTCCTGAACATCGACACTGCAACTCTAGATGGGCTCTGTGGTCGTGCCTACGACGGTTTTCAACCGCCTCATCATTTCTTCAAACATCCATCAAACATTGGGGGCAAATCTGTAACAATATCTATACTTCGTACCACCGAGTTTGCATTTCTATTAAGGGTATGTTCTGTGGTCGTTGCTGTGTATATTATAGATCATAGAGTAGAAGGGACTAACTCTGTGTCTGTAACACACACTCGATAATTCAACCACAGCCCAACTCTACTTACAAGCCATGAACTAGGAAATGCCGCAACATCGACGCAAGACCCATAAATAGAGATGATGTAATGGCGTCGTAATGGTTTCTGCTCATCGCTGCTGAATAAATCGCTATTTAACGAGAGAAATAACTTTCAAACCCAAAAATAAGTTGTGAAAAGAGATATTATTTGAAGTTATGAAGAATGAACAAAATAAATTTCCCGCAAATAATAATAATAATAGAATTTATTCCATAGTATTACAATATCTTGTAATAAAAAAAAATAGGTGAGAGATAATCGCACATATCAAATTAGTACTCTTGCAGCTGGTCCATAGATTGGCAATGCTCAACCAATGCAAAAAAGATGGCTTCATATCCTTGATAAGCCCCTCCAATCCGTTAAATGAAGTACTGAGGCTCTGTATACACTCTCAGTCATCAGACAGATCTACTTGACAATTTCTGTTTTCTGGACCGGACGAAAAAAATTTCTGAAGTTGAATTCTCTGAGTACAACCCCAGATGGCCAAAAATCAGGCTTAGAGATATCGTTATATATTTCTTCACTTGGACAGCCAATAGAAAAGGCCGAGTTTGGGCCCTTCGTTGGCAACTTCTTTATATCGATTGTTTCAAAGTGCAGAATATTATCCATATATGCCAGAATATCATTTTCCGACACTTCCTTTCCTGATACTTTTCCCACGTACATCCCTCTTTTCTTAATTGCTCCTTTAATTTTATTCTTTTAAAGATCGGTGTTGTTAACACCTGTACAAACATTACCTCTACGAGGTATTTTCTTAGCAGCTACGGTGGACCAAGTTTGTTCAGCAGTATTAGGGGCAGTATCGTTAATACTATTTTCATTATTTGTAGTAATGTTTACACCATTGCTTTATTTATTAACAGGAATATCTGTTCTTAAAAACTTACTGTATCTGTACTTAAAAATAATGAAATTTATAGCATATTTTCAATTCTAATTAATAAAGTGAACTTGTTAGTGTACCTACATATCATAAAAACAACTTTTGAATCGCTATAACTTAGACATAATTCTTCTTAAACAAAAAGTATTATTAATTTCTATAGATAATTGTATGATCTACAATTTTTGTTAAAACAATTTTTTTTATACAGAGTACCGTTTCGATGAAAAGTTTTATGGAAAGACAATTATAACATGCATTACTTTAGACCGATGTTCGAAGATCGCTCGGTCTACCGGAATGAGCTGATGCGGCGTTGCCAAGTCTATGTTCATGGCTTGTAAGTAGTTAAGCTGTGATTCAACATCAACTAGATATCGAGGAAAAAAGTTGCTATTATAAAATAAGTTTTTGGAATATGAATGATTCAGAGAAATTGTTATTTTTCACTCTCAAATTTCATCTTATTTTTCGTTTCTTTGTGAAATCATAATTCTTTTCAGAAAGATGTTTTCCTTAAAACACTTTATTAATCGAATAATTATGCTAATGAATTACTTTTTCAATTAAAATTTGCTAATATCGGTTTTCTGGTCATATTGGTAATAATTATTGAGTTTATAAAATTCAAAATTTATATATTCCAATATTTCAAATCAGAATTGCGTTATTGATTGAACAAACTTTTGAATAAATTATACCCTTTTTTTTAAATAAATGCATATCGACGACCACGTTTACTACAGGCCATGAAGAGCGTAGTCCCTCGGTGTTGCCAAATTGTGTTTAGTTGTATACTATCCTTGTAGTATGTTCCAAGCTTTCAAGCATTATTTCAACTCTTTTTGTATATTGCGAACAAACAAGAAATATTATTAGTATTTATAACATATAGAATATTTCATTGGGTATTGTGAGCACATATTTCAGTAAATGTGAAACATTTATTATTGCAAGAAAACAATGATATTTTCGATAAAACCCCAATGCGTAAAAAATACTTCTATTAGTCAGTGGGATTTATTTACATGAAAAGTTGCCTATCCAAATTTACTGAATTATTTTAGAGAATAGGAACCTTGAAAGAAACTCTGTAGGAATTACTCAAATTGAATAATTTACCTAAGTATAAATAAATATCATATTTCTGAATAGCGCAACCAACAAACTAATTCATGAAAGTATTGAGCTTTCTGCGTTTATTTTTTGATTCAGTTTTCTCGTGTCTAGCTTGATTACTTTTTTTTGTGTAGTCATTCAATAAGATATTCGAAAAAATGTAACACAGCAAGTGCAGAATATTTTTATTGTATTTTCTACATAAACAGCAACAATAAAAATCTTTCAACGATTCATCCAATGATACGCCTAAAATAGCGAGATTACACAAAATTGCTTTCTGGTGTATATTATGCAAAAAGGCCCGTTCGAGAGAAATAAATTGAAAAATTAAGCTCCTATAATTTGATTTACAACCAGGAATGCAACAAGTTTAAGAAGTCATTTTAAGAAAATGTACTTATTAGAAACTCACCTATTCCAAGCTTGAAACTTACTGAATCATCTACGAAATACCTATCCTCTAGACTATATTTCACAAAAAAATTATTTGTAAATAATCCGTACTTATTTAATTTACTTACGGATTTAATCGTTTCGATTCGATTAAATCGGTACACACAAAACACTTGGTTTTTATAATTTGATGTTATGTTATCCACAAACTATCAACACTAGCACGTAAATAACACTATAGAAAATTGATGAATAGAGGATTAGAACTGAAATCGTAAAATATTCAACTTCAAACTACGAAAGTCTTGAACAACACAAAATTGATTTCGTTTCACTGAAATTTGTAAACAAACTAAACACTTCGTTTTTTAGTGTTTGATGTTGAGATTTCAACAAATTATCAACATCAACACTTGTAATACACTGTACACTATTGAAAGATATAGAATTTATACCAAAAGCTCAAATTATTTAACTTCAAACTGCGAAAGTTTTGGGAAGCGTCCTGTTTGCTTTAGTATGCCACTACAAGAAATGGCGGCAATATTAGACGACCTTCTGACATATGTCAGATATTCATTTCATGGCCTGTACTAAAGGTGTAGAAAATTTCATTCGAAATCTAAAATGTGATCGCAATCACTTCTAAAAATCATTGTGATTGACATGTGGACAAATCACAGTGATTTTTAGGACGGT